TCGCCCTGTGGTGGAATTCTAAAATGTTTATCAGGATATCAGCAACATTTTACTAGTTAGCCACTTTTTGATATCTTTCACAGAAAATGAGATATATAGGCTCAAAGTGGACAATCCGGGTGTCGTTCTATTAGAGGTTTTACGGTATATAAGGAATATTGATATGATTTTAATTGCATCATTAAAGAGATAAGCTTAGTATCAAAAAAAATTATAAAATCAGGAAAGGGACCGAAGAATAACAAAGTTCTTACTTGCAGTGTGTAGATTTACAAAACCATCCACGAAGCGGCAAAACGGAGTGTCGTAGTGGAAGTGTTGCTAATAGGCGCTGATGTGATGCGATGTTACTACGAAACTGCTGCTTGGTGACAGCCACATAAGGCGACTAAGTGAGATTGTTGAATGTTGCTGATCTGATTTCAACTGGCAGATGAAGCTAGCTTAATGCGGTCTGGTCTTCAGGCTTGCTCGCAAAACCATATTCGGAAAATCGGATATCTGAATTTTTCCGGAAATTTTTTTTCGGGAAATCGGATATTCGACTTTTTTCCTGATTTTTCCCGATGTTTTTTTTTCGAAAAACTTATTTAATTTCGCTGTTACTGACAATTAAAAGTTGAAAAACAGCGAAAATCAACAAAAATATCGCCGATGTGCCTTGAACGTCCCATATTTTCTATAAAACTTTTTTCAGAAAATTTTCCGTCGGGAAATTTTTTTCCGAAGAAAAAACCGGAAAATATTTCCGTCGGGAAATTTCCCCGAAAAAAAATCGGAAAATCGGATTATCCGTTTTCCGACTCCGAGCAAGCCTGCCGGTATCACAAGGTATGGAAGCTGCAGGTCTGATGTGGCTTCCTGCAGAGTAGTGGTTCCTTGTTTTTACTTGTCATAATTTGGGTTACTCACTAATTGAATTCATTTCATCCACCTGTTCGTTATAGAACAAACAGAGCCTTACAGCATACATCCGCATTTTTTCTGTCTGAGAATGTCTCAAAACTTTTCTCGCTCAGATTTCGATAAATTCGACAATTCTACAAAAGAGGCTCTTGTAATTATCGGAAACAATATTTTACTTGCGTCTCAGTATTTCACTAAACTAAATTCGTCCTAGCAAGTATCGGTGTTTTCATAAACGCTTTTCATATTATCGTACTCTCTAGAAAATCGATGATCTCAAATGTGATCAATGTGATTTTGTTGGGTATCGCTATCAGTGACATTGTGAATTTGAGCCTTATAGCTTATCAATTTGTTGCAATATTACCCGAATCGTTTGAAGACGAATGCACCGTGCCAAAAAGTTATTTCATCACAAGGCTCAATTATTTTCTCCTATTTATCAAGGACGACTTCCGAAGACTTTCCGCGTGGCTCGGTGTTCTGATGGCATCTGTTCGCTATTTTATCATCAAAAATTCTCTAAATCCGAAATTTAACTTTCTCTCCAAACCATCTTCAGGCTGGAAATCTTTGACTATTGCATTCATTGTCAGTACCCTAATGTCTATGTTTTATGTGATCCGCGTGGATCTTATATCTGAAATCTGGATACCTCCGGAAGCCTGTGGGTACCCGACTAACTTCAGTATGACAAAATATGGCTTTATAAGTAATAAACTGTTCTTCAGTGGACCAGAGATATATATGTTTTATGTAGCTTTCGATGGGATTCTGAAGGTTTGAAGTTCAAAAAAACAAGGAATGTATGAGAAAAAACGGTTCAGATCATTCTTGCTAGTGTGCTCCCAGTACTAGCTGTCTTGCTGATAAGAGAATTGAAGAAGGCAAAAGTTTCCAGAAAAAAAACTTCCGTCGTTTCTAAAAATGCTAATAATCCTGATAACACTTCCAAACTGGTTATCATTATGACAATAACTTGTATTTGTGCTGAAGGGCCAATGGGAATAGGATTTGTATTTGAAGCTCTACTAGTGGATGCTCCAAAATTGATGTTAGCTGTAATATTACTAGTAACGTCTAAAAACTTCGTATTTCAGAAAAATAGTTAACTGCTTCGAGATTATTATTTTCGCTTTTGCGATTTTGAATGCAACTACCCATTTTTTCGTTTGTTTCGGAGTTTCTACACCTTATAGAAAATCAGTTAAAGAGTTGTTGTGGTACAAAGGATCCCAGAAACCTGTAAGTTTGTTGTAGAATTTCACTATATTTTTGAGATTTATTTTCAGATAACAATAAGTCCGAAAATCAGTTCAGCAAGCATTGTTACAACACGAAAAGTGGGATAGATGGTTAAATTCACTTATTTCATTCGATAAATTCTTTTTTTTTGTATTCTTGATTTCAATTGGCAAATGATGCTAGCTCAATGACTACGAGCAGTAGTTTAAGCCAAGGAGGGGACTCAAACCAAAGTGAAATAGACATTCGTTTAGGGTTCAAACACATACAGGACTGGCCAAAAAGGTATTCGCAAATAGCTTTTCGAGCATAACTTTTCTGAAACTTCCCGAATCAATCTGATATTTTAAGACAAAGTTTAAAACGGTAAAAGAAACTGATTCAACAACAAGAATAGTCAAAATTTCAAAAAATTGAAAAAAAATCGAAAAATTCATGAAAATTGCAAAAAACCGGTAAATGGAACTTTGACTTCTGAGATGTAGGATAGACCGGTAAACGAAAAATAACAATAGAAAATGAATAAAATAGCTTTAGTACTTCGTTGGGAAGCCTTTGGCGTCGATTACCGCCTGACATCTTCTTGGCATCGAGTCGAGAAAAGTGTCGATGACAGACATCGGGATGGCCTGCCAGACATCTTGGAGTTGGTCGAACTTCTGGTTGGCATTCGAGGCACGGATCCCTCTAAGCTGTCTCTCGACATGCTCCCAGAGGTGTTCGATCGGATTCAAGTCCGGAGATTGACTTGGCCAGTACAGAAGATCCACGTGGCGGCGTCGGAACCACTCCTTGATGTGCTTCGAGGTGTGCTTCGGGTCGTTATCCTGTTGGAAAACGAACGCCCGGCCCACAGTAGACCGTGCCCAGGGTCTCATTGTGTTCTCCAAGATGTCTTCATACACAAAGCGATCCATGATGCCCGTAATTCTTTTCAGCGGGCCGATTGAAGTCCCAGAGAAGCAGCCCCAGACCATCACCGATCCACCTCCATGCTTGACGGTTTGGAGCTGGTAGCTGGGATCGAACCGACATCCAACCGGACGGCGAATCTACTTGATACCGTCAGTACCGAACAGATTGAACTTGGATTCGTCGCTGAACACGTGATTAGCCCAATCCTGACGTCCCCAGTGGAGATGAGCTCTGGCCCATGCTACGCGGGCGATTCTGTTCTTCTTGCTGATCGATGGTTTCTTAGCTGGCCGTCGTCCATGGAGTCCAGCATCTTGAAGACGTCTTCTGACGGTTCTCAGGGATGGTGTGACTTCATTTGGAGTCTTCACGACCATCTGAATGTCCGTAGAACTCCTCTGGGGATCCTCTCTTGAAGCTCGGACGATGTTCCGATCCATGTTCTTCGACGTGATACGCGGTCTTCCAGGCGATTTTCGCTCCACCAAGGCTCCCTAAACATTTTTTTTCCATAACTATACTATTTTCGAATATTACCTCATCCCGAAACTGCTTCAAGATCTTCTCGATGGCACGTTTAGTAACATTGAACTGCTGCGCCAAGAGGTCCTTGGAACATCCACTTCTGAAGCCGATGACGATGGCTTTACGGATGTCCTGAGAGATGTTTTTTTTTTCCGAGGGGTCTGGCCATGTCTGTAAACAGTTTTAAATACATAGGAGCCAAAACCAACATTCTTAGAAACCATAATATCCAAAAATATAAAAATATGAAAAAAGTGAAAAAACGAAAAAATTGAAAAAATTGAAAAAAACAAAAAATTTCTGAAAATGATGCAATTTCCTTGTACGCAATTTGTCGTCACCGTGTACGACATGCACAGTAAAATTTTCAGATCGATCCCTTAAGTTTCAGCAAAGTTACTCTCAAAAAATCGTTTGCGAATACCTTTTTGGCCAGTACTGTACATATAAACGTTTTTGAAGAGGTTTATTTTGGGACAGAAGGTTGCTCCGGGCAAAAATACATTTCAATATCCCAAAAAAAAGGACTTCGAGAAACGACATTAATTTTTTTAAATGAAATTCTGAGATCCTGAGATTCTGAGATTCTGAGATTCTGAGATTCTGAGATTCTGAGATTCTGAGATTCTGAGATTCTGAGATTCTGAGATTCTGAGATTCTGAGATTCTGAGATTCTGAGATTCTGAGATTCTGAGATTCTGAGATTCTGAGATTTTTTTTCTGAGATTCTGAAGTTCTCTAATCACAAGGCTATTCTTTCATGTTTCATTGATAGCTGAAAAAGCTGAGAAATTATGAAAGTCTTCTCTAAAGCATACTTGTAAAATTCCGGGCCGGGCCGGGCCGGGCTTGCGTAAATTTTAAAGACCCGACCCTGGCCCGATAGGCCAGGCATCAGAAATCCTGTATTTTTGAGCCACATTTTGAGCTTTTAATATAATTTTTTCCAAAATGCTTGAAGCAAATGTCACAACTCAACCAAAAAAAAATGTTTTCATTAAGTTGTATTCAGAAATCAAGAAATCAAAAAGAGTGGTAGAATGAAACATTTATCTCACTTTTTTTTCAATGCGAATATTTATGGTTCCAGCTAACGGGAAGAAAAAAAAGATGAATTTGAGACAATTATAATAGGTTTTCTATAATTTTTTCTTTCGCAACGAATTTTTTCTTTTCGCAAGAATGTTCTATGGAACATTTTTAACATTCAGATGAGCTCCTCTTTCGGATGCTGTGCTTTTGGAGCACAATAACTTCTTCAAAATGTCCCAAATACGTACGGTATCCAGAATGAATAATAGTGGAAGGTAAATTTCCGGGAAATAATTGGCTATTGATAAAACTTTCATCATAGCGACTGCGCCAAAAGGTGTTTTTACAAAAGTATCATCAAAAAGCGTAAACCATAAATCAATGCTTCATGAAGAGAATTCACTATCTGAAAACATATAAAAATTATTTCCAAAAAACCTCTTTTTTTCTTCTACCAAAAATAAAACAGCTGTAATCAGAAGATGATAAAATACTCGATTTTTAGTCCGTTTCCTTAAAACTGAAATATTGAAAACAGGCTTATTTTCTTTGATCAAATGTTTGAATAAAATAATGTAGCAGACAACAGATCCGAACGACAATGCATTGAAGAACCGATTGATATACTATAAATTATTTTATTTTTTTAACGTTATAAATGTGTTCTTTGACTCACCACTCGAAATCCTTCATTGTCTTCAGAAGTTAAATTAGGTACTATATCGATAAATCCAAAAAATATATAATACATTCTCTTGATTTTCGAAGTTATAATCATTCCCATAGCACCAGCAATTGAGATGATAACGCTGAGAATTACAAGGAAAATCCACTTTTCGAAGATTCTCGAATACCATTTCTCGGAAACAAAACATAAACATCGTTTTAGAGATAAACAAAATGTGATAGTGACTGAGAATAGGTTACTACAGTAATCTACGTATAACGATAAGTTTGTCAGATTTACTAATAAATGTGAATCCCGTTTCCTTGTGCGTAATATTAAAACAATTGATGAAAAAACAATTCGAAGAGAAACACAAATTGAGAAAATGAGAATCATTGAGAAAAATGGACCCTGAAAGGTGTTTATTGACTGTTCAAAGTTTTTTCAATCATCACCTTGCTTTTTGAAATCTTATTACACAGAAATATGATACAAGCCAGTTGAATAAATAAGTTACTATTCACTATATTATGTAACGGAATCATAGATCGATTGTCGGAACCAACTTCCTCCTGGATGCCGGTTATACTACCGAAAAACAGTGTCGGCTGAACCTGACATGAAAATTCCTCAAATCGAACAAAGTCGGAATACTTTTTTGGGTATGTAAGTACCATTTTGTTGGATACTAATAAAAAGTTATGCACAAGCTCTTGGAGTCTATCACTTCTGAAAAAGTTAGTTCAGTGAAATGTTTATAAAAAATAGTGTGGGCGTAACCTATCATTAAAGTTTGAATATGGAAAATGCTAGAAACAAATGTCACAACTTAAGAAAGATAAACTTTATCGTCGGAAATCAAAAACTCGAAATAGAGTCAAACTAAAATATTTATGATATCAGCTAAAAAACAATTTTGAGACTTTTCCATAATATTGTTTTTCCGCGAGTAATATATTTTCAAGTAAAATTGCCAGCATTCGAAGGAGCTCCTCTCTCGGATGTTCTATTTTTGGAGCACAAAAACTGCTTCAAAATCTCCCAAATGCGTACAGTATCCAAAATAAATAACAGTGGAAGATAAATTTCTGGGAAATAATTGGCTATCACTAAAGTTTTCATCATGTCGACTGGATCAACAAGAGATATTCCTAATAAATCTCCAAGAAGGGAAGGACCATAAACTAATGCTTCATAAAGAGCATTCACTATCTGAAAATATACAGTAACCATTTTCCAAGATTCGCATGTTTCATTTTCTTACCAAATATAAAATAGCTGTAATCAGAAGGTGATAAAATACACGATTTTTAGCCCGTTTCCTCAATACTGAAACAGTGAAAACAATCTTATTTTGTTGCAGTAAATGTTTGAATAAAATCATATAACAGATAACAGATCCAAATGAAAATGCATTGAACAAACGATTGATGGACTATAAATTTTTTTTTTTTTCAGTTGTTTTCGATTTCATAGAATTGATAAATGGACTCACCACTCGAAACCCTTCATTGTCTTCTGAAAAACAATTAGGTACTAAATCGACGAATCCAAAAAACATTAAATAAATTCTCTTGATTTTGGAAGTAATAATCATCCCCATAGCACCAGCAATTGAAATGATAACACTGAAAATTACAGGGAAAATACACTTATCGAAAATCCTCGAATTCCATTTCTCGGAAACAAAACATAAACATCGTTTTAGAGATAAACAAAATGTGATAGTGACTGAGAATAGGTTACTACAGTAATCTACGTATAACGATAAGTTTGTCAGATTTACTAATAAATGTGAATCCCGTTTCCTTGTGCGTAATATTAAAACAATTGATGAAAAAACAAGAAAGGAAACAGATATTGAGAAAATGAGAATCATTAGGTAAAATGGACCCTGAAAGTTTATCGCTGGTATTTGTTTTTTGTTTTAAATCGTACCTTGTTTGACTGAATCTTATTACACAGAAAAATGATACAAGCTAACTGAATGAACAAATTAATACTATTTACTATATTATGCAACTTAATGATCATTTCATCTCCGGTTCCAATTTCTTCTTCGATAGAAGTACTGCCGGTAGCTGGTACTGCACCGGGTAACGTTGCCGGCTGAACCTGCCACGTATTCCCTTCACCCTCAAGAATGTGTAAAAAATATCCTGTGTATGAAAGTACCATTTTACTGGATAATGAGGAAAAAGGAAACCAAGTCTTTGGAGTTTAGCACTTCTGCAGAGAATTGGTGAAGGGAAGTTTTTCTAAGAAGTAGTGCGAGCGTAGCCTAAAAGTAAAATTTGAATATGGAAAATGTTAGAAACAAATGTCACAACTCGAGAAAAATATAACTTTATCACGAAAAATCAAAAATTCAAAATGGAGTTTTAAACCGAAAACATTTATTTGACTTGACAATTTTTTAAAGGTGGGGGGACATGAAAAAAAAAATGTTCTCGAAATTCCGTTCAAAGATGCCCCTCGAGGAGTTGAACTTGTGAGGGCGGTGATTGAGGGTGCGGCGCCGCTACCGACTGAGCAACGCAGGCAAAGAGAAAGCGCACGCCCGATTGCATACATAAAGGCAAGGACGACAACTGTACGCAGAGTGACATTAAGCGTTGTACACCGTCACGGTAGAATGCATACTCTGGCCCCAAAAATCCCCCGTAAAATCTCCTGTCCCCCCACCTTTAACTGAAATATGTATTCATGATAACAGTTAACAGGGAAAAAACGCATTTGAAGATAATTGCATTTTTCGCGATTAATATATACTATGGAACATTGCCAACATTCATAGGGTCACTTTTATCGGATGCTCTATTTTTGGAGCACAATAACTTCTTCAAAATCTCCCAAATACGTACGGTATCCAGAATGAATAATAGTGGAAGGTAAATTTCCGGGAAATAATTGGCTATTGATCAAACTTTCATCATAGCGACTGCGCCAAAAGGTGTTTTTACAAAAGTATCATCAAAAAGCGTAAAACCATAAATCAATGCTTCATGAAGAGAATTCACTATCTGAAAACATATAAAAATTATTTCTCAAGAATCTCATATTTTTTCTTCTACCAAATATAAAACAGCTGTGATCAGAAGGTGATAAAACACTCGATTTTTCGTCCGTTTCCTCAATATTGAAACATTGAAAACAGTCTTATTTTCTTTGATCAAATGTTTGAATAAAACCAAATAGCAGATAACAGAACCAAATGAAAATGCATTAAAGAACCGGTTAATAGACTATAAATTTTCTTCAGTTTTATCAATTTCATACAATTGATAAATAGACTCACCACTTGAAACCCTTCATTGTCTTGAGACATACAGTTTGGTATTACATCGACGAATCCAAAAAACATTAAATAAATTCTCTTGATTTTGGAAGTAATAATCATCCCCATAGCACCAGCAATAGAAATGATAACGCTGAAAATTACAGGGAAAATCCATTTATCGAAGATCCTCGAATTCCATTTCTTGGAAACAAAACATGAACATCGATTGAGCGATAAACAAAATGTGATAGTGACTGAGAATAGGTTACTACAGTAATCCACGTATAAGGATAAACTTGTTAGATTTACTGATAATTGTGAATCATCCGATGTACGTAGTATCAAAACGAGAAGGTTGTCATCGATTTTTGCGTTTTTTCGAATCTCACCTTGTTTTTTGAAATCTTATCACACAGAAAAATGATACAAGCCAGTTGAATAAATAAGTTAATAATATTCACTATATTATAATAATCATTCGATCCTCGGGTCTAGTTACCATTCCGATGGAAGCGTCGGGTAAATTCTGCTCTGGAACCTGCCCTGTATTACCTCTCTCTTCAATCCAGTCAAAGTACTGTTTAGTGTATGAAAGCACCATTTCGCTGGAAATTTGATAAAAGGCGACAAATTTTTAGGAGTTTAGCGCTTCGTTGAAGAAAGTTGATTGACTGGTTGTGTTTATGAGAAATAGTGAGAGAGTAGACCTATAATTGTAATTTGAAAAGGAAAAATGCTAGGAATAAATGTCACAACTCGAGAAAAAACCCAACTCTATCGTCAAATTCAAACATTCAACAGAGAGTGGTAAAACGAAAACATTTTTTATATAATAGCAGTTAACGGGGGAAAAAATAATTTCGAAACAATAAGCCTTTACTAAATAATTGTTTTTTCGCTAGTAATACCGTAAACACTCTAATAAAAAACCACCCGAATCGTCTTATTAGTTGACAACTTTTTTTATTTTGATATCTTCCAAAAGAAGTGAGATATTTATGCTCAAAGTGGACGGTCCGGGTAGCGTTCTATTAGAGTGTTTACGGTTTATTCTCGTGAAATATTGCCTACATTCAAAGGAGCTTCTCTATTGGATAGTCTATTTTTGGAACACAAATGCTTCTTTAAAATTTTCCAGATGCGTACAGTATCCAGCATAAATGAGAGTGGAAGATAAATCTCTGGGAAATAATTGGCTATAGCTAAAATTTTCATCAAGGGGACTGTGTCAAAAACTAGTAATCTATATAAATTTAAGAACACCGAAGGGTCATAAACTAATACTTCATAGATAGAATTTACTGTCTGAAAATATAAAAATACATTTCTGAAGAATCTCATATTTTTTCTTCTACCAAATATAAGACAGCTGTAATCAGAAGGTGATAAAATATACGATTTTTAGTCCGTTTCCTTAATTCTGAAACAGTGAAAACAGTCTTGTTTTCTTTTATCAAATTATTGAATAAAAGCATGTAGCTGATAACAGAACCGAATGAAAATGCATTAAAGAACCGGTTGATAGACTACAAATTGTTTTTTTCCCTCAATTTTATCAATTTCATAAAATTAAAAAATGGACTAACCACTTTAAACTCTTCATTTTTATTTTCTTCTGAAAGAGAGTTAGGTACTACATCGAGAAATCCAATACACATTAAATAAATTCTAGTGATTTTAGAAGTAATAATCATCCCCATAGCACCAGCAATTGAAATGATAACGCTGAATATCACAGGGAAAACCATTTATCGAAAATTCTGGAATTCCATCTCTCGGATAGAAACCATAAACATCGATTTAGCGATAAACAAAATGTGATAGTGACTGAGAATAGGTTACTACAGTAATCCACGTATAATGATACATTTGTGAGATTCACTGACAAATGTGACGTTGGATTCCCTAAAAAAACTGACCCTGAGAAGGTTATAACTGATTTTTGTCATTTTTCAAGTCTCACCTTGCTTTTTGAAATCTTATTACACAAAAAAAATGATACAAGTCAACTGAATAAATAAGTTAATACTATTCACTATATTATGCAACGGAATAATCATCCCATCTCCGGATCCAACTGCTTTTTCGATGGAAGTACCGGGTATACTACCGGGTAATCCCCACTCAATCTGCCATATACTCCCTGCCTCTTCAATCCGATCGTAGTATAGTCTTGTGTATGAAAGTACCATTACTTTGGAAATTGAAAAAATAAGAAATCAAGTGTTTGGAGTTTAACAGGAAAAGGGTTGAGTAAAGTTTCAAGAAATAGTGCGAGCGAAACAAGAAATAGTACGAGCGTGACCCATAATTGAAGTGGAAATTTGGAAAATGCTAGGAGCAAAAGTCACAACTCAACCAAAGTACACCTTTACCAAAAAAAAATTAAAAAATCAAAAAAGAGTTGTGAAACGAAAACATTTATTTCACATGACAATTTTTTAACTGAAATATGTATTCACGATAACAGTTAACGGGAAAAACGCAATTAAAGATAATTAGTCTTCACATAAAGCTCTTCTATCGGATGCTCTATTTTTGGAGCACAAATACTTCAAATATCAATATTTCAGTTTGAAAACGTAAACCATTAGATACTAATTGGACGGACTAACTTTTTTAGAATCAGTTTCTAGGCCGCCAATCATGGTGGCCGAACTTTCTCGAACAGGGTAATACTGGACATTATTCACAATTCAAACTCGAATGGTAGTAGAAATTTGGGAAAGTGGTTCATTCAAAAGTGAGCAATTAAAATTTGAGCAACATTAGTTTTAAAGCATGAAAATTGACAGACTAACTTTCTTCAGAAGCTTTTTCTAGGCCATCAAATTGTATAGCCTGAAGTTCTGCAAATGAGTTTTCTGGTCATAAAAAAAAGCAAAGTTTTGATAAACAAAGTTCCGAACCTAACCCCCTAAAGTATATTTTGTGTGAAAACCGCGCCATTGCTTTGTTTGCATTTTTTATCATAGACTGCTGATGATGATAAGACCTGTGCGCCTATAAAACGCGCAAAAATTATTAGGACACATTTTTCGGTTGCACACTTTTTCTAAACTTTTAAAATGGATCAATGGAAAGTGCTATTCCTGATTTGTCTCTACGGAGCTGTTAAAGAATTCCGGCCCACTGAACCCTACATGTACGAATACCAACATAACGTTTTGAACATGTCAGAACACACTTTGAATAGTGAGGTGAGATTTTCGGTGGCCTAGAAATTTGCTAGGCCATTTGTTAAACAATTTTCAGGTTTATCCTATCTGGACCTACAGTTACTTGGTGGCACTAATTCCATCGTTTTTATTGACAGATGCACTTTTATACAAACCAATTTTAATTATTGAGGCATTATCGTATTTTTCGTGCTGGTGTATTTTTGTTTTCGGACGGTCGGTGTGGTCTATGCAGGTAAAATTTTTTGGTCGGAATTTAAATTTTTACAATCAATTTCAGCTTTTAGAAATGTTCTACGGATGGGCGACGGCCACAGAGATTGCTTATTTTTCGTATATTTATGTGATGGTACCGCGAAGTGAATATAAGTCGTAAGTCTTCAACAATTTTAACTATTTCACCATGAACCCATGAACCCATGAAACCATGAACTCATGAACCCATGAACCCATGAACCCATGAACCCATGAACCCATGAACCCATGCACCCATGAACCCATGAACCCATGAACCCATGAACCCATGAGCCCATCAACCCATCAACCCATGAATCCATGAATCCATGAACCCATGAATCCATGGACCCATGATCCCATGAATCCATGAACCCATGAATCTATGGACCCATGAATCCATGGACCCATGATCCCATGAACCCATGAACCCATGAAAACATTAACCCATTAACCCATCAACCCATGAATTTTCGGTTTGTCTCTGTATATCCAGATGTCCGTTTTCCAGAGCCACTGCATTCACACGAGCAGCTCTTCTAGTCGGCCGATTTCTCTCCTACGCCTTGGCCCAACTTTTAATCGGCCTATCCTGGGCCGACTACATGACCCTAAACATTATCAGTTTGGTAACCATGACCCTAGCAGTTTTGCTAGCATCTTTACTCCCAATGGTCAAATGGAGAAAAGCTTATCAGAAGAAATTGGAAGATAACAATTCACAGAACGATTTAGAGAGTCTGGTCAATGATGCAAGTTACAAGGACTACTTGAAACTGTTCTTCAGGGAGCTACATCAAAATTTATATGCGATTTATCGTAACCCTTTGATATTGAAGTGGTCCGTATGGTCGGCATTGTCAAGTTGCATTTTTTATCAGGTAAGGTTATCTGAAGTTTCTGGGTACAGTACTTGACCAATTTCAGATTGTAAACTACACTCAAACACTGTGGGGTACTCTCCCCGAAGAGCAAAACAAGTACAACGGAATCACAGAGGCCTTAGTACCTCTAATGGGCATTCCTGCCGACTTAATCACCCGTCAATTAAATGTAAATTGGAACAAATGGGGTGACGTATTCCTTGCCATTGGATCTGTCATACAATCCGGGTTGCTATTCTGGATGTCCCAATCTCATCAAATCATCATAATGTACATTTGCTATATCATTTATCGAGTCATTTATCAATTATCCACAACTATTGCACAATCGACACTGGCACTTTCTTTGGATTCAAGATTGTTTGGTCTCCTTTTTGGAATCAACACTTTTGTTGCGTTGGCACTCCAATCAATACTTACAGCTATCGTTATTGATGCTGAAAAATTAGAGATTAGAGCTCAGGTATGTCACTTTTTGACAGAAAAAATGTACACAAAAATTTTCAGTACGTTGTCTACTCTGCATACCATCTGGCAGTTGCCGTTTTATTTTTTGTGTTATTTTCAATTTGGACTACGCGGAAATTGATTGAATCCAGATCTCACACCGATGCATAATCGTTTGGTATTTTAATAAATAAAGTTTTGAAAAAAAAAGAACTAGTCACGTTTGTCGCACACTAGGTCTGATCGACCGTCGACTGGAGAGATCGACAAGGGGGGTTGAAGCCGTCCGGACCATCCTGACCTATTTATATAGACCGACATAGATAACAACACTACTTATCTAAACTATAACGGATCCGACCCGACCGACCCGACCGACCCGACCATCTACACCGACAAGTCCATTCAGACCGCCCTGGCCAGACCAAGCAGATTTGACCATTCAGACCTTCCAGATCTTCCAGACCTTCCAGACCTCTCATAATCGGAACGGTCCGGTTCACCCGAAATTTTGCTGATAATAGTAATAATAATAATTTATTACAATGAATGCTTTCAAATCAAATGCTTTCAAGACATTTTAATGACTTTCAAATTTAGTGATTTCCAAAAAGTTCATCTGCCTGCCCAAAACATGAAATTAACAAATATTTTTCCTTATTCGCCACTTTTTCAAATCTCATTACTCCTCTATTCTCAATTCTTTTTCTCAAAAAAAAATGAATGTACTCCCTTTTGTATTTCCTAAAGAATGGGAATCCTTATTTTTTGACTACAACCAAATTCCTGCGCATGAACTTTGTGTTCACCGAAATTTTGCATCAATTTGTTTCGGGAAAACAGAGGATTCAGAGGATCAACGACCACCAAACCCTGTTACAGATTATCTGGGGTGGATAAAATTATTGAATTTCGAAATACTATTGCTCATTGCTAATTTGTTACTGTGGTTGATTTTTAGTTGGATTAGGAGGAAAGGCGCAGCAAGAAACGGGCGAGAGGTATAGTCAACTTTGAGTCATCATAGCTCATTTTCTGTGAAAGATATCAAAAAGTGATAAACTGACAAAATGTTTGTCATAATATCAGTAACATTTTATCAGTTTTTTACTTTTTGATATCTTCTACAGAAATTGAGATAAACGGGCTCAAAGTTGAAAATTATGGAGCTTTTTTCAGGGACCCTTCTTCAATTTTTTATTTGTTTTATCTTTCACCAACTCTATTCGTATCATTTTCTCAATTATCAGAGTATTCATTATCTCTCACAAATTCCTCATTCAATTTTCCCTTTATTTGGATTATTTCCACAATTATTTTTCATTGTTAATCACATTTTGGATGTCTTTGAATCGTTGTTCATCTCTTATCGCCAAAGATTTGAATTCTAGGATATTCGAGGGTTTTCGTACAACATTTATTATCATATTATGTGCTCTTACTGCATTACTCGGTGCCACAATTAGTATAATAACATCGAAAATTAAACGGAACTTTTTTGACCACTGGGGATTTTTAGATTTTGGATTGAGTGACGGTTTCAGATGTGTAAGTTTCCAAACTTCAAAATTTCAATGTTTTTTTTTTCAAAATTTCAGATTATCAATAGAGCATTTTTTTTATTTCCAATGGGATCTATTATATGCTACGTCATACTGTACTATCATATGCACCGGACTGCAAAAGAAATCAGAAGGCCAAATCAGATGCAACGAAAACATAACGTTTATGGGCAACTTCTGATAGCCATTGTCCTTTATGTGGTAGGTCGGATCCTAGGCCACCAAGTTAGTTTTTTTTTCTTCAGATTTTCCATTTCATTTATGAGGGACTAGCTTTGATGGATTTTGACTTCATCTTGCGAACCGTTTCTGTTCTTGGAAATTTCAAATTTCTTCCGGAAATTTCACTCCCAGCTCTTTTGATTATTAGTGATGTTCAATTAAAAAAGAAAATCAAAAAATGGGTGTTAGCTAGGAAGCCAAGTGCTCAAACAGTACCTTCGCACCGTTCATGGAATTCTTATCAATGATTTTTTGAATTTGAATTTCCGAATGTTGTTTTAAAAAGATATTTTTGGAATTTTTGTAAAATGAAAAATGTTTCTCAATTTCTTTATCTTTTCTTTGCATTTTTCAGCATTTCTCAGCAACAGTTTTTTTTTGAAATCTGACATTTTTTAATGGATATTTTTTTAGGATCAGAAACTCAAACCCATGAATGAACCAAACCGATGACTGAACCATGAACCCATGAACCCATAAACCCATGAACCCATGAACCCATAAACCCATAAACCCATGAACCCATGAACCCATGAACCCATGAACCCATGAACCCATGAACCCATGAACCCATGAACCCATGAACCCATGAACCCATGAACCCATGAACCCATGAACCCATGAACCCATGAACCCATGAACCCATGAACCCATGAACCCATGAACCCATGAACCCATGAACCCATGAACCCATGAACCCATGAACCCATGAACCCATGAACCCATGAACCCATGAACCCATGAACCCATGAACCCATGAACCCATGAACCCATGAACCCGGGGATCCTCTAGAGTCGACCTGCAGGCATGCAAGCTTGGCACTGGCCGTCGTTTTACAACGTCGTGACTG